CAGACAACTGAACTGCAAATGGGTGACTCACTTCTATAGCAACATGTTAAAATGTTACCAAGTGATGAGCAAGCAGGACAGAATGGAATTACTTTTTAATTTAATGGTTTCATAAAATCCACTTTAGACTTGATTCAGTGGTTATTGTTGTTGAGGCTGGTGTGTTTGAGAGTTGGCATAGGAGTCAACTATTTTAAAAACATAAGAACATAAGAGAAGCCAATGTTGGATCAGGTCAATGGCTCATCTAGTCCAACACTCTGTCACACAGTGGCCAAAACTACCAGGTGCCATCAGGAGGATCAGCAGTGGGGCCAGGACACTAGAAGCCCTCCCACTGTTGCCCCCCCCCCCCAAGCACCAAGAATACAGAGCATCACTTGCCCCAGCCTGATACCTTGTGGCTAATAGCCACTGATGGACTTCTGCTCCATATGCTTATCTAATTCCCTCTTGAAGCTGTCCATGCTTGTAGCCGCTGCTTGTAGCCTCCTGTGGCAGTGAATTCCATGTGTTAATCACTCTTTGGGTGAAGAAGTACGTCCTTTTATCTGTTCTAACCTGACTGCTCAGCAATTTCATGGAGTGCCCATGAGTTCTTGTATTGTGAGAAAGGGAGAAAAGTACTTCTTTCTCTACCTGCTCTATCCCATGCATAATCTTATAAACCTCAGTCATGTCACCCCTCAGCCGTCGTTTCTCCAAGCTAAAGAGCCCCAAGCGTTTTAACCTTTCTTCATAAGGAAAGTGCTCCAACCCTTTTATCATTCTGGTTGCCCTTTTCTGCACTTTTTCCAGTGCTATAATACCCTTTACACTGTACAATATCATTTGCTGTACACAGTACTCCAAATGAGATTGCACCATTGATTTATACAGCGGCATTATGATACTGGTTGATTTGTTATCAATTCCCTTCCTAATAATCCCCAGCATAGCGTTGACCTTTTTTATTGCAGTTGCACACTGTCTAGACATTTTCATTGAATTATCTACTACGAATCCAAGATCTCTCTCTTGGTCAGTCTCTGCCAGTTCGGACCCCATCAATGTGTATTTATATTTAGGATTTTTGGCTCCAATGTGCATCACTTGGCCACATTGAACCCCATTTGCCATGTTGATGCCCACTCGCCCATCCTTGACAGATCCCTTTAGAGTGTCTCTCAATCCTCCCTGGATCTCACCACCCTGAACAACTTCATGTCATCTGCAAATTTAGCCACTTCACTGCTTACTCCCAACTCCAAATCATTAATAAACTTACCACCCTTACCTCACTTATTAGTGTTTTTTGAGGGAGTGAACAAACATGTGGACAAGGGGGACCCAATAGATGTTGTTTACCTTGAGTTCCAGAAAGCTTTTGATAAAATTCCTCATCAAAGGCTCCTAAGTAAGCTCAATAGTCATGGGATAAAAGGACAAGTCCTCTTGTGGATCAAAAACTGGTTAATTAATAGGATTGTCAGAGAAGCTGCTTCATGGGATTCCCTAGGGCTGTCTCATCATCATCCACTGAATCCTTAAAAGCATTGTCTCCATCCTTAGACAAATCTGATCCTGAATGTAAGACTACTACCAGAGCATCCAGAAGACGAACCTGAAGTCTTCCATGTTGCCTGCTGGAAGGGTGAAGACTCTTTTAAATGTCTGTAATAAAGTACCATTGTCTGGAACTGCCCATACTGCCTTTAGCATGTAAAGAAAGAATTCAGGGATCTCACAGTGGGCTAGGACCGCGCAAATGCCATAGGGAAACGCATCACAGACCAGGACCACAGGCAGGGTCTCATCAAAGTGCGCTAAAACGTTATTAGAAATCAGCAGCGCCTTGACACCTTTGAAAGCAGCCACCTGGAATGGTCCTGGAATTTCTTTACGATGTCCTTGAAGGTGGACTTGGAGAGCTTTGTGGGAGCAAGCAAGTTGTGAGCAAGCTGGGCCACAAGAGCTGATTAAGAGAACTTGCTTCTTTCCTTCGTCGGTGATGTCGTAAAACTTCAAGATGGAGTTGAGTCCCTCAACCCAAGCATCCCAGTGATGCAGTTTGGTCAGGTCAAATGGAGGGACCAGCTCTGATCCCGGAGCAACTGCCATTGTGCTGCATGGAGGTAGAGGAGGAGGTGGAGCCAGAGGGGTAGAAGGCGCGGTGGTCACTTGATCTTCTCCCTGGTTCATCGGCGGTCACCTCGGTTGTCCTCGGGATGCCTCCATGGCCCGACCAGCTCAGCGGGATCCCATCCTCATCGCCATTGTTGTGTAGTGGGTTTGACACATCGAATGATGAGGAAACGGTGATATTCAGCTCATGTTTACTAGCACACAACATAACATAACATTACCGGCCAGAGGCCCAACTATATACAGTCTCTGTGGACCACCCACAGGTTCCATTGGTGGGTTTAAACTTCCCGCCAAGGTTCCCATTGGTGACCGCTGGAGGTTTCAGGATCCTAGTCCCTATTGTTCCTAGTGATCCAAGCTCCTGTAAAATACGCTGTCACCTAGTGGCGGTCAGCAGACATAACCATCACACTAAAGGCCCTTCTAATTCAGTATTAACAATGGCCCAGGTGGATGAAGGCAGCTCCCCTCCCATATCATGTTTAGAGGTAAACTGCCTTGAGATATGGAGGTTTTATTACCAATTAAAGCTATTGGCCATGAAATTCCCTATTGTGTTTTAAAACCATCTCTAATCCTTAAAAAAACCATTTTGTATCTTTCAGACACAGTGTTTAAATACTCAAAGGGTATGGGTCTCTAAAATACATCATAAACCCCTAAGCTGCCTCCTATTCCATTAGAGCCACTATGGTTTACAACAAGGAGCCTCATTATACCCCAGAAAATGCTGTTGCTCTCTATGGTATGACCCCTTGACACTTGAGAAATTTTGATTTGCTACTACAAAATAACACAAAATAACATGGCTACACATCTGAAACAAGGAACCTCTTAGATATAAACTGGGAAAGACTATATTCCTTAGTACTGAAACTTTTTTTCCTTCTTGGAGGACACCTTCAGTTGGGTTCTTCTGGAAGCAATGTAATATATTGGGATGCAGTAAGTGTAAGCAATAAGTTTGTAATGTTTTATATCTTAACTACTATAAATTCTTCTGCCATATTTTCCTTCAGTGGGGGAAGTAATCCAAACTGGTTAAGTCACGCCTTCTCTTGCTCCAGGCAGGGCTATGCAAATTTTTCTAGACACTATTGGCTCAGAGCGAGGCTGACTCTCCAGTTTCAATAGCCCTGCAGGATGCTTGAGCCTCGCTCTGTTTTCTTAGAGACTCGGGGGTGGGTGGGTGTATTTTTCATAGATCCGTGTGTGTGTGTGTGTATGTGAGAGGGTGCGTTCAGACGGGCCGTTTAGTCCACTTTCGGCACGCTTCAGTAACGGATTTTATATCCATGTTCACACACCCAACACCTGCGCACCGTCCTCAGCTGTCGCTTTCCAGCTCAAACCAGGTCCCCAAGTGGTGTTTTCCTGATTCTCCGGTTCTAGCTGCACTTTTCTGATGTCTGTTTGCTCCTGTGGTGTCGAGCCACTTCCGCTCGGAAGCCCAAGACTTCTGCTCTTCGCCCGGCATTTTATTTTAGCGTCACCGGTATGCACACAGGTGGTGCTCTGCTCCCGCGTTATTAAAAACAATGTTTAAACGGTGCCTAGTTTTGTTGGTTAGATGAGTTTGGGATCTCATGGAGGCCGTTAAAACAACAACAACACAACATACCTTACTGGTGATATCTGCATAGGCAAAAACATCAGGGAAAAAATCTGCAGGAGGTCATGCAGCATTTTGGGGTTGCTGATAGCCGGAGGCAGCAAAGAGGCAGCTTGAGCTAGTGCTGGGGGTGGGAATGGGATATCCCCTCTCCCATGGAGTCCTCAACCCCCTCTTGTAAAAGCCAAATTGTAGTATAACCATACTCGTGATGTACACAGTTTTAAAAGACAATCCTTTACATTCAAGTTATTAAAAATAGTAAGCACAGAGATCGAAGTGAAGAAAATTAGCTTTAATGTAAATTAGAAAATGACTTGTAAGAGCTTTGTTCAAATGGTTAATTCTGTACAATTTACAGTGTTATGTACAAACTTTATAGTAAAATACAGTACACTCTTCCTGAGTTTTGTACATGATTTTAAAAAGATTCCCACTAATTCTTTGATAGAAATACTATAAGTGTGCTAGTGTTTGGTTTACTTTGGGTAATATTGGCAAAACAAACAAGGTAATGATTGCCAATACGTCTTAAAATAATTCATAGTTGATGCAATAAACATATCGACCTTGATCCTAAAATATGATCCGTTCTTTAAAAAGTACCATTGTATTTTGTTACTTAGTTGCAACTGCATATAATCTCGCTTTCCTCTATAATTAATATGCATCTGAATGCTTGTGGTCCATGGCAATTTGACCAAATGGAGATTATGAAATGAGCGTGACAGATAAGATGCCTTACGTAGAGGCACTGTGCATCAAAGCTTAACCCTCTTCTGAACAATATATGCAGATGTCTGCTTAGCGTGATAAATATGGAGACACTAATTTATTGAATAGATGGTAATTCGTAAGCAGTAATAAGGCCACAGTGCTGCAATTCACACACACACACACACACACACACATGTGCTTAACTTTCTAAATATAAATCCACCAAATAAGTGCATGACTAGAGTCTCATTGTAAAGCTGTAGCAGCTTTAGAATTAATAAGAAATTAAAGGTCATCAATAATACTTTAAAACACAGCTGCATCTTAGATAGTAATTCTACACTATTGTCTATAAAAACATGTAATGATTTTTCCTTTAATGGTGTCATTTGCTGACACAAATTACGATATTGCAGTAATTAATGTTTTAAAATTATAATTAAAATGTGATAATACCATCAGGATTTTTAACAAGTATTGCAGCCTAATATTTAAGACTGAAAGGTAATTTGAACGCATCTGAGGCAACACTCCTTTTGTGGCAACTCAGGTGTCCCTTGGAATGGAAAAACCATGCCATGTATCCTTGCAGTGCTCTCAGTGCAGCTAGTTATACATTCTGTGCCATTAACTGCAATAAGAGAAAGGGAGAATTTTCATGGCATTCATCGCACTCCATGGGAGCCAACAATGAATATGCACTGAACAATTCTTTCAGATTTTTTCTGGGGCAGCTCTCGTGCTAATCTTGACACTGCTCTATTTGCACACTGAGAGCAGCTACACCAAAAGCAAGAAAGCCAGATGTACATATGGTTCTGGGCACACATGTGCTGGTGGATGATTGGCATTATTTTCTTTCCATTCATTTGTGCTACCATCCAAGTGTCACATAAATAATGTAATACTGTTTGAGAGTTTACACATCTAATTTTGTTGCATTTTACTCACAACATTATTGTGTGTTGAGAAAGAAAAATGGAGAAGGTAACATTATAGTTCTGTTTTCTTTTTAAAAATAAAAGTGTATGTCCTACTCAAGCAAGAGGCATCTCTTCTGGACTGTGAACTATGAATGCAAATAGGTGCTGCATTCTACTTTCCACACTGAATACCCTTGGCTTTAAGCACAATAGGGGAGCCAACCATCTGATCAGTTAGTATGCAAGCACAAGTACATGCATATACTCCTCGGAAGTGGTGGCATAATGTGCCAGTTTGCAAAATGGTGATGTTGGAAACAAATCTTCCATAATGAAAACAGTGAGAAATGGAAAGGGACTTATTCTAGTGTTATCAAAGTGCTTAGGATTAAAAAAATTCACAGAAAGTTGGTCTTTAATTGAATACTTGAACTTTTCCCAGGAGTCTTTGCATGCTTAGATGTTGCCTTGTCTTTGATGCTTTCCTGATTGCCCTTCACAGCCAATTCAAGCCTCGCCTTCATTGGTGGAGAAGAAGCCATTAGTTTTTTAAAGACTGAGGAATACTGTGGGCCAATCTGCATCAGATACTGCAAAGCAAACTCGTGTAGATTCCGTGCTGAACTTGTGGCTGATCCAAGGGCATTCTCATCCAAGAGAAATGAAATCAGCATGGGTAGAAAACAAGCCACTAGGTCAGTACCTGTGAAAAATAGTTTGTGAATATTGTTTAATGCTACTAATTTCACAAATAGAAGTACTTCAACTGTATTACGATTTCAACTGCTTATAGAAGGCCTTATTATTCTGCTACACCTTTCCCAGGCTAGTCCTGGTTGGGTGTGTGCAAGGGAGGAATCTGCACTAGAGCACTGTGGATTAGTCTGAAGAAGCCAACAACTCCAGAATACAATGGCCGGTTTTATATGTTCAAGTTGCATTTATATTAAGAAGTTGCTTCAATTAAAAATGTCTTAACAAAGTGCTTTTAGCTGTTCCAAAGTGAACAAAAATTACTGGCGCAACCCAAAATGCAAACCGGTGCTCCTTTTATTATATTTTACTTTGGCAGCAGTCCACAGCCTAGTGAACATGAAACACTTTATTTAACCCAATCAAACTGAACTGGTAAATCCAAATATACTACCTGAATTTGGTCATGTCCTTCAAATTACAGTCCTAAGGGTTGGATCAAGACTAAATATTCCATCGGCACAATCCCCACTTAGGGATGTGCATTCAGATTTCCCAAAACCAAATTTATTTATTTCTTTATCGGTATTTTTTAAAGCCGAATGCAAATTCAGTTTCCCGAATTTGTTCAGCTTTTTCGGCTTTCGAGTAGCTGAAAACCAACTTTCCTTGGGCTGCTGCTTCCCTAGTCAATTTCACTCCCAGCCAGTCAGTTGTGGGAGTGAAACTGACCAGGGAAAGCCTCTACCTTCCCTCCTCCAGCTGCCCCAGGGCTGCTGGAGAAGCACAGGCAGAGAGTCCAGCCATGTTTAAATGCCTTTCTTTCCCTCTCCCAGTTCAGGGAGGGAAAGAAAGGCATCTAGACATGCCTGGGTTCCCTGCCTGCACTTCTCCAGGGGCCCCCATGGTTGCGGTGGAGGGGCCCCATGGCTGCGGTGGAGGGACCCCATGGCTGCGGTGGAGGGGCTGGGAAAGCACAGGGCAAGCATGGAAGCCTTGGAGGCTGCTAGGATGTATCTGGATCAGTCCTTTCTGCTCTTAAAAAAGATACTGTCAGATATGCCAGCCAGCTAAATGTTCAACATTAGGTAGATGCCCCTCCCCCATACTACAGCACTCAGGAGAGTGATCTGTCTGTAAAAGGTTTTCTCCTCACACTCTGTTCAGATCACCCTTGCTCGTTCAAGCCACTAGATTTTTTTAATAAGTCAAACATGACAGTATATGAAGCTGCCTTACACGGAGTCAGACCTTTGGTTTATCAAGATCAGCGCTGTCTACACTGACTGGCCATGGCTTTCCATGATCTCAGGAAGGGGTCTTGCTCATCACCTACTGGGGAGGTGCTGTGGCTCAGTGGAAGAGCCTCTGCTTGGCATGCAGAAGGTCACAAATTTAACCATGGCATCTTCTGTTAAAAGGGCCCAGCAGTAAGTTATATGAAAGACCTCTGAGAGCATGGAGAGCTGATGCTAGTTTGAGTAGTACTGACCTTGATGGAGCAAGGGTCTGATTCAATATAAAACAGCTTCACATGTGTTCACATGTGTACTGCTTGGTACTTTTTAACGGGAGATACATGGGATTGAATCTGGGACCTTCTGCATACCACTGAGCCAAGCACCACTCTGAACAATTAGCAACAATATGATGAGTACTGAACATACTTTCACATGTGATTCTTTAACTTAAATCAGCATAAATATGTACTTAAAATGGGCAATTAGTTATTTGATTAATCAGACAAGTTGATGCTTTTAGCCCTGTGAATGGTACTTACGATGTTCTTCCTTGGCAACAGCTATAACAGCAGCCACCACTTTTATTCCTTCCTGAATAACTTGGAGTTCAGCAGCATTCTCAGGTTTAGATTTCTCTGCTTCTTGCAGTTTGCCCACAATTGATGATACTAATGAGTGAATGTAAGGATATGAGATAGCTGGGTTCGGATACTGAAAGATGGTAAGAAGCAGCTGGTAACATTTAAGCTGTACCTAAAAAGAACAAGGAAAATCCAGGTTCACAGAGCAAAGTTCACATTTTAAAATTACATGTGTGTGTTTGGGTTAAGGACTTGGCTTTAAGGTTTTAATCTGCCATGCATGACCAAAGAACTGCCAATTCCGACCTGCATGCGTGTATTAAGTGCAGTTTATCAGAGACAAAAGATT